CTATAAAACCAAAAAGAAAAGCTTGTGAGCAACAAGCCAAGCCAAGACCAGGAATTCATAACTAAGAATAAGCCTCGGTGTGTGGTTTGAGAGCTAGGTGGTGGACCCTCCTCAAAAAGCCAAAAGAGTTAAAAAAAAAAAATCAACACTTCTGACATAAGGTAACTCTGGAGATAATGTGGTCATATATGAAGCCAAGGCTTTCTCAAAAGAAAACCCTACCTTTTCTGTTCTCTAAAAAGTATCTCCAAGTATCTCCTATAGGCGACTATAGACGTCAGGAAGAAATTCAGGAAGCGGGATGAGTGGCCTGCCCACTAGGAGGGTGGCAAGTGGAGGGACAATGGGAACCTAAAAGAAAACAGGATGGTATGGAATCACAGCCAGGGGTGCCACTCAATACAAAAGAGACCCTAAGAAGAGTGACATGCAGGTTTGGTCTGAAGCACTTAAAGCAATATCATGGGCCGCAAAAATAGCCAGGAAAGCAGCTTCGAGTTCAAGGCCAAACAGCCACACTGTGAATTAGCTCCAGGCCAGTCAGAGAGACATTGTGAGACCTTGTCTCAAAACAAAAGAGAGTTCCAGGTGCTCAGGGGGGAACTGGGGAGTCAGCGTTTAACGGGGACATATAGCTTCCACTTGGAGAGGTGGGAAAAGATCTGGAGGCAGATGCCGCCAACAGCTGGGCACGGTGTGACTCTACAGAACCACTGAAGCTCGCACCTCCTGCAAACAGTTAAGATGCAAACCTGTTCTTTTGTAAGTATTGCAAACAATTAATTTGACTAAATTTAAAAAATCAAACTGGTCAATCAATAGTATGCATATATTCTAAGACTATGGGTGGGGAAGGAAACAGGGAGGGAGATGTGTTTCTTCAAGAGGAACAAGAGGACTGAAGACATCCTGGGGAGATGGGAAGGGAGAGAGGCCCTTGGTCCTAGACCTCGTTCTCCTGTCCTGCTGGCAGAGTCAGGAAACCTCAGACACCAATCAGCACCAAACTGCCCACCAAGGGCACAGTCTCCTAAAGCTATCGCAGACAGGGATGTCAAGGGCAGTAAATAAAATGCTTGCCTAGGGCCAAAATGATGCACATCCTGGAATTTAGTGTTCTTCTCCCATTCCAAATCTCAAGGGCGCCTTCCAGAAAGCTCACAGTTTGCTTACAAAAGGAAAAATCTTCAGCCTTTAAACCTTGTTGTCAATTACATTCTGAGCCATGTAACTTAGAAAGCCACAGGATCATATACGTACCAGCTGTAAAGACCCCTGAGCACACGACTCCCTCGAGACGCTCCCACAGGCTTGGAGATGTCTGATTCTTTCTCTGGTCATCGTTCTGCACACTGGTATGAGCTGAGGGTCCAGGCTGTAGGTTCATTTAAAAAGCGTGTCCGCTTACTGGTACATCCGAGAATCCTGCCTGTGATGAAGCCAGAACCCTGCCTTTGGTTTGTTCCCTTTAGGGAATGGGAACGCCTCAGTTCAAGTGGCAGCATGAACTATGATTTTTTTTTTTAAGGCTCTCTAGCAGGCGCTGGGGAGATGACCTGGTGGTTAAGAACACTGGCTGCACTTCCAGAGGCCTCAGGTTCAATTCCCAGCACCACATGGCGGCTCACAAACATCTGTAACTCCAGTTCCCAGGGGATCTGACGCCCCCTTCTGGCCTCTGTAGGCACTGCACGAAATGTAGTACACAGACACCGTGTATAGACACCCAACACTGCAATAGTACAGACACGCTTGCAGGCAAAACACCCATATGCACCAGATACTGTACTTCGACAATTTTAAAATTCCTTGTGCATAAGTTTGACTGTGGTAAAGACACATGGAAATGACTCCTGGTTTATGGAGATTTAACTTATGACTCACACTGATACAAAAGTAACACATGCTCATGAGAAATCATTTTAAATTTTGACTTTTCCCCTTAAGGCTAGAAATATGAAATCTGGCATCATCTCGGGATGCTGGGCGAGCAACAGCAAGTCACATGATCAGAAAGATGGCAGAGGGTACCCCACATATGTAGTGTTACTGAGTTGATATGTCTAGTAGGTTAGATGCAAGAAATGCATTTAGCGTTGCAGTATTTTTAATTTACGATGGGCTTATTGGGATGTAACTCCATTATTAGTCAAAGATAAAGTGAATTTAAAAGTAAATGGTGACCAGGAATGGTGGCTATAACTGTAGTCCCCGAGTTTGGAAAACAAGAGGACTGCCATGAATTCAAGGCCAGCCTAAGCTATAATAATGATTCGACATCTCTACAAACAATAGGATATAGGAAGCATTGGTGAAGAAGTAGAAAACAGGACCCTCAAACATTCTGGTGGGAATGTGAAATTGTAAGCCCTCTTTGAAAACAGGCATGGCATTTTTCTTACAGCCTTAAACAGATTTATTACGTGACTCAGCAAATCTCCCCATATTCACCAACACAAAAGCAAACTCCGCCCACACAAAAGCATGGCTTTGGCAGCCATTTTCATAATAGCCCTAAACTAGAAGCAACCGGAAACGTCCACTGACCGACTGAAGGACAGTATAACGATCCTCCTCTACCCACCAGCTCACTCTGTGTAATAACCATTGTCAATCACAATCTGGGACGGCAAATGGAAAATTCAAGAGAGAGAGAATTCTGAAGTCTGAAATTGCATCCTGTTCTGGGCCACACAACGGAAGCTCGTGCTGTTTCTCTCCACCCCAGGGACACGCATCCCTGCTTTGTCCAGCGTCTCCGTGCTCTCCACCCTGCCTACCCGCAGTCCCTCGTTCATCAGACGGACTGTGGCGGTGTTGCGGTGCCTGTGCTGAAGGTATTGTTACCTCGCTCAGTGGTCTCAATGCGCAACAATGACAACTGTATCTTAGTGTACTGATCCTTTATGCACAGGATGTGTGTGTGTGTGTCTACTTCATTAATTGTGGCCATTCCCTTACCATGCCTAATTTGCATCCTAAACTCTATTATAAACATCTGCACATAGGAAATAACATAGTATGCATGGGGCTTGGTAGTATCAGGCATCCTTGGGGGCTTCTGTAATACAGATATTACAATATAAAATTTATATATTTATATATATATATGGGATAAGTATAGATATATGGATAAGGGTTATCTATATATCTGTAATATAGATAAGGGAACCACTCTGGCTCTTACTGTGTGTTGCTATTCAGCCATAAAAAGGGATGAAATATCTTTCACTGTAACATGAATGACTCTTGTTGATAGTATGCTCCACGAAAGAAATCGCGAAGGACACCACAGGCCACACATCTAGTTAGGGCTTCTATTGCTTAGACAAAACACCATGACCAAAAAGCAAGTTGGGGAAGCAAGGGGTTTATTTGACTGATGCGTCCATATTGCTATTCATTATTGAAGGACATCAGGACAGGAACTCAAACAGGGCACAGTTCGGAGGTAAGAGCTGATGAACAGGCCACGGAGGAGTGCTTGGAGGAGGTGGGACTGACTTGCTCACATGGCTTGCTCAGCCTGCTTTCTTATAGAACTCAGGACCACCAGCCCAGGGGTAGCACCACCCACAATGGGCTAGGTCCTGCCCCATCAAGCACTAATTAAGAAAATGCCCTACAGACTTGCCCACAACCCAACAGTATGGAGGCATTTTCCCAATAGAAGTTCCCTCCTTTGATGACTCTAGCTGGTGTTGAGTTGGCATAAAACTAGCCAGGACAGCATGTAGTTCATTTCTATGTAATAACCAAGAAAAGAATTCTCATAAATGAAAAGGAGACTCATAGTTGCCTGAGCTGGGGGTAGGGACATAGTGAATGGATATATAGTCTTTTACTGGACGACAAAGTTTTCTAAAATCGGAATGTGGCTGTATTGCTCAGGCTGCCATAACAAAAATTTATTTCCCAGAAGTCCAAGACTAGAGCACGCACACAGTTGGGTCCTGGTGAATTCCGTCTCTAGCTTGCTGAGTACAACTCTCACTGTGTGCTCAAAAGGGCAGGAACCCAAATGCACACGAGTGACTCAGATGGACAAATGACCAACATCCGGCCCAGGAGAAAGAGATATTAACAGACGATACCACAGGAAAAACTAAGACCATATCTCCATCTGCACAGCTCTCTCTGGGGTGGACGGCAGGAGAGCTTCGGACTGGGGCACCACGGATATAAGGTGCATTTCTGCCCGGGCAGAAATGCCTTCAGTTTCCTAATCTCCGGAGTGAGGGTGAGAACAGAATATTCGCCCGGAGGCTTTACAGTCCTCACAGCAACCAGCAGCTGGATAAGCTTGCACCAGCACTTCAACTACGCAGGGTCTGACACATTTTGTGTGGTTTATTTCTTGCTTATTTTTGATACTATCTATGTAGCCCAGGCTGTCTTCAAACTTACGTTCCTCTCCCTCCCTAATGCTGGCACAACCTGGCCAGGACCTACTTTTCTTTGGATTTTGCTATAAAATCGCCTTCAACCAAATGTTCCCTGATCTGCCATTGTATTGCTGGTTGATGACGTATAAGCAATGTCATGCAAAGCCCACATGAAAACAATGCCCACAACAGACATGGCAGTCATCTGGTCCAATCTGTCAGATAAGGACGAGACGAGGGACAGGGGCTTCCTGACCAAAGGCTGGTCCACCTTGCTAGAAGGCCTGCCTAACATGATTACCAACCCTCACCCCGCCCCAGCTCACTGTTTAGTCAGTCTCTGTGTAGGAACTTCTCCAAAGAAATATCCTGCCTACTGGCTATAAAGGTAGATGGGGGAAATGTCCCATGTGACTTTAAAGACTGTCAAATGCAAATTACAAACGCTCCATTTGAAAGATGACAACGGAAACGTTTTCAATGCTTCCTGTTTCTTCCCAAGCCTCTTTTTCTTTACTAAAGCCAGTTCTTTTAAAGACTATGAACCAAACAACAGTTCTGCAGACCAGAGGTGAGCTATTCCCAGAGAATCGCTATGGCATTTTTCCTTGTTACCTTGGTAACCGCTACCTTGGCACCCTTGTTGATGAGCTGAACCACATTCTCCGCTTGGCCTTTGTACGCAGCTATGAGCAGGCGTTCTGAAAGCGCAGCGACCGCATCCTGCTGGCTCATGAATCAGTAGAGAAAGGGGTTCGCAGGAAAGCAGGGGATGAGTTCCTTCAGCTCCACGTGTAGCCTCTGGCTAGGACTGGAGTCCACAGGGAAAGGTGCTCAGAATCATGGGGCATGCCTTGGTTACTACTCCATCTTCAGGTCCTGGGGGAGGGGGGTTCACAAAACAAAGCGGCCATCAGTGCCACTCAGCACACAAGGACAGACAGACACACCTCTGCTGACCGCAGGGCTTTCTTCTGGGTGCACAGCACAGGGGAGGAAACCTAGAGAAACAGGACATCAAAAGCATGTTTCCACAGCGATTCAGAGTGTGTCAATCTCTCCACTTCCTCCCTCCTCAGGACCATTCTCCACAGCATAGGCAGAGCTGGGAGGTTGCATTTTTACCAGGGGGAAGGAGGCCTGATATAACACAGGGGTGGAGGGAGGGAAGGTGGGGAGAATGATGTAATTAATTGTTTTTAACTTTAAAAAAAGAGGCCCGATTTCATTCCCTACACACCTCCTGGTCATTTACATAACAACATGTACTGTGAATGAACAGCCTTAGCCTTGTGGACCTGGTTCCTGTGAATCCACCATGGCTAGCAGGCACTCGGAGACCATGTTAAGCAGGGTGTCTCTTTGAGGAGACCCTCCCCAAACCCCGCCACACACACACACACACACACACACACACACACACACACACAGTGCACGTGATTTTCTCCATCCTTTCCTTTCTGGAAACGGTGCAGCCTTCTGAGTTCTGGAGCCGGGAGCTCAGATGGAGTTCTGAGCACAGACCCCAGGCCAACCCCAGTTCCAAACTGATGAAACACTCCACCTTGTGAGGAAAATGACGCCCCTCTCGGTGCAGCCAGCTCTAGCAAGCTCTAGCACTACCGTTTAGGGTCACCTCCTCCACAAACACCCCACATGTTCTTGCTAAATCGGAGGAAAATCAATGGCCACTAAACCACTGGGGACAAAGCTTTCCGGTGTGCAGTGGGCTGGAGGCAGTAACTACAAACTTAAACTCCTCCTTTCATGAAAGGACCAAGAAGGAGAGAACTCTTGACTCTTTCCAAGTAGTTGTGGGCATATTCTTAGAACAAGCCAAGTCGGGGTACTGACTTTAGTTCTGCGGCAGGAGGGGGAGGAAGGACGTCTTTGCATTTTAAAATATGTTTATAGTTGTAATGGAGATGGCTCAACAGGTATAGTCACTTGCTGCAAAGCCTGAAGCCCTGGGCTCAGTCCCCTGCACCTGCCTACTCCCCTCCCTGCCCCTCCCTGCCCCTTCTTGCCTCTACACCGCAGAAAATGCTGCAGCAAAGGGCCACTCTTCAACCCAACACTGGATCATGCTTTGGGGTTCAGGAATCTATGGGCATCTTTCATAAGTGCTTCCAGTAACTTGATGATCACTTCGATCTCAGTTCACATGACCAGCTACCCTGGGAGGCTGGGGTAGAGTTCCATATGCAGAACAGACACCAACCAACTCCATTCCCACAGCAGCAGGGAGTGAAATGGTATTTCATTATAAGAAATCTAGCCAGTTGTAAACACTGTAATTTTAGAACAATAATTCTTACCTACCCCCAGTTCTTTATTACCACATTTCATAGTGTTCTCCATCTGTTGCCCCAGATATGGGCAAAAGATTATCAGGAAAGAGAGAGAAACCTGGCAAGCCCAGCCTGCTCTTGCTCACCAGGTCACCAGAAGTACAATACAAGTCTGGAGAGGGTGATGCCAGGAAGCACGGTGCCCCAGCTAGTTGGCCCTGAGATCCTGAGATGTGCATTTCCCTTCCTGTGCTGGGCATCGAGCCCAGGGCCTGTCACATGCCAGGCAAGTGTGCTATCACAAAGTTACAGCCCCTGCCCAATGAAAGAACAGAGTTAAGACGCAGCAGTGAGAGAAACAGCTAGAAATGCCTTTGGAAGGGCCCAAAGTCACATGACTATATTTGGGGCTTTATCTCCTGCCTGCACACACACACACACACACACACACACACACACACGCATTGTCTTTATCAACATGGGGTGTACTGTTTCTTCTTCTGCAGGTGGGCTGTGTTCCATTCACACACATTGCTCCGATTTGCTGCTCCTTCGGGTCAAATACTAGAACATCACTCTGCCAAATGCAGGAAAACGCACGGCATTAGCCGCCAGTTCCCTGAAGATCTCCCTCCACCTGCGAGTCCCTCCCCTTTGCACCCCTTTCCCTTCATCTACCCATTTGCTATCTCTGTGCACTTGGCTTCATCTCCACCCGTCCCTTCCAGCACCTTTCCCACACAGGACATCTGAGTCCGAGACAGCCTACTTCATACACAGCTATCCTCATTGCGGAGTCCCACCTGGTCTACTCCAAAGCCTGCCGGAAAAGGTGAGCCTCTCAGCTGCACGGTCCCTGCCACCAGCCCCACAACCACAGCGATGCAGCCCCCTTAGCAACAGACACAAGGCCAGGCCCAACCGGCTTCTGCTAAATGGATTACCACTCCCCTCCCAGCCACCCGTCTCATGCAACAGATGACGCCCCCCAGACAATGAAACTAAAGCCAGAAGTTCTTGTGGTTACAGCTGCAGGCTGAGATAGCTTTTGCTTAGATAACGACTGGGTAAAGAGCCCTTTGCAAGTCCAGCCACCATCGCTGTTTTGTTTTCAAATCAAAACACCCCATTGGTGAGAAAATATTGACCAGCTAGCAATGCCATTTTATTTTTTGCTTTTCTGTGGCAGCTACATAAGAATCCTTTATACCTCTGCCCCACGAAAGCACCCCTATACCTGCAGGACAGTGGTCATTCACAACAGATCTTGGATACGCCCTGTCACCCCCCAGCATGCTGGCACAGGAGACTGCCTGCAGGATCCGCGGCAGAAACACCACCCTGGGTTATCAGCTCCTATCTGCAGCTAACACCATCCCCTCAGCTTGGACTTCTCAAAGTCATTCTCAGTGTCAATGCTGGGATCACCTCACTGTGAGGACCTACACCAGCAGGTGCTGAGGCTGCTCTGTTTCCTGTTTCTCCTCACGACCTCGCGTGGAGTTAGAGGATGCTCTCCTCCCTGTCTGGGAACCAGCAAACTAGGCCAGATGGAGGCAGGCAGACTTAGGGAGGGCTGGAGAGCCCTCAGGAGAGGAAGGAAACAGAAGGGTGTGACCAGCCTGCAGGCTGAGTTAGTCTTCACTGCTAACCTGTTGGGTGCCCTGGCTGTCACAGCTTTGGCCTCTCATTAAATCCCAGCCTCCTCTTCTATTCCGTAGTCATCCTTCAAGATAGCCTTGCTGCTGGAAGGGAGTCTGTCTGCCTCACAGCTGTCAATCACAGCCTCTGTCACGGTATGCATTCTCACAGTGCCCCAGAGGGAAAAGCTTAAAGGCAAACTTGCTGCCGGGTCTTCAGGCAGGAAGGAAGCAGCCACACAGTCGGTCCACAGAGAGCTCAACACACGCAGGTGGGGGCAGACTCCAGGGACCCACTGCCTCCTTTTCCTCCCAGCCCTATCCCTTCTGCATGCATTGCTCCCTAGTCTGCGGTTCCTTTTGTGTCCCATCACCGGGGTCAGAGGATTCCACAGATGCTCTACCTGTGAGGCGATAGTTGTTTGTTTTCCTGTTTTGCTTCACACGGCAAAGAGTCTACGAGGTTGGATTCTGCTGCTTTATTGCAGATTTACAACCAACTCTCCCAGTGCCGGTCAATATCTGAAAGCCGCTACATTTAGTCTCCTCCCAATGCACTAACTCCTCTCAACGAGCCCTTCTAAGAAAAGTCCTAGCCAGGCATTGTGCAGCACACTGCGATCAGGCCATCAGAGCCGTGGTTGGAGAGCACACATAGTTAGAATAACTAGCTTTTCCCACCGGAGGGATTACTCACACATGGGGCTGTCCTCTGTGTTCTTTCTGAAATGCGGTCAATTCTCTCCTGGTGGGATTCTAAGCTTCCCAGGGCTGCCGCTCCGGGCCGCTGCTTCCGGAGGCTCAGGGATTTACCCACAGCAATTATAAGCCTTCTTCCTTAGCCTCCTCGGCCGCGATGCTAGCTGCATCACCAGACTATTAAGGCATCCATTCGGCTCCAGATGCTGCTCTATTGTCACTGTTCTGATTGCTGTGAGACCGCTCTCTCTTAGGAGCAGAGGACCTGTAGCCCTGCCGACAAGTCAGGGAGCCGTTCCCAGCCAAGGCGAGCGCTTCAGATGGATAAGCCGATGATGAAGCAGCAAAGTTTGCAGCCTGCCGTGAAGAGGGGCACACAGGCAGGGGTGAGAGGATCACCGACTGTCCTCACGGACACGGCTGCTGAAATGCTGGCATCCTGCGCAGCAACCCAGACACAAGCTGCTGGAGCAGAGTCCCGAACGGGGACTGCAGCGTCTGCTGAGCAGACAGGGTCTGCCAGGGTGGCTACTGAGATGTCTGTAAACGCAGTCTGCTCAGAAACTCCTCCACAGTGCAGACAAGGGAGCAGGGTGGGGAAGTAGAGGGCCGAGGCCCCTCTGAAGCAGATGATGTGTGATGCCCCCCTTTGAGGCATCGCAGGTGAGCCTCCCTGCCCACTTCTTCAAGCACCAGCAGCTTCCTGGAGACATAAGAAGCTTCTCATTTTGGCTCGAGCCGGAACAGTATAGTTTTTGTGTGAAATAGGATTAGTAGCTCTAGAGGTAGGAGAAGAGCTTGGTCAATACACCTTCTGACTGTCATCCTGCCGCACACCTTCTCCCTATCCCCCGAGGACAGTGGCTCCTGTGGCCATGGGGCTGGGATCCTGCTTCAGTCTTTTGGCACAGAAAGATGAGACTGTGGACTCTGGCCTACACACTGCACAAATGTGGAAATATACCAGGGAAACAATTGCCAAGAGACAATAGCACCATCTTCCCCTTTCCTTCTGGACTAGATTTTTTTTTCATCCTAGTTCACCCAAACCAATCATTCCTTCCCTACTGCAATCACCACTGGGGACCAAGTGAGATTACAGCAAAGATGAACACAGCTGGATCCCGACTTTGAAGAAACCAATACCGGGCCACCCTTAGGTCACAATGAAGACCCATTGCAGACCAATGCAACCAGTTAAAAGTCCATTGTCTCAAAGATCTGTGACAGCTCCTCCTCCTCCTAATAG